TACTGGCCTACCCTGTAGATTTTGGATTTACTAGGCTTCAACAATCATTTGAACCAATTCCTTAAAATAAATTTCATTGTCTCTCCCTCTCTCTATATGTATACACATATATGCATATGTATGTACACACACAAACACAGACACACGTCCTATTGATTCTGTTTCTCTGGGGAAGTCTGACTAATATATGTACCCCAAACACCTAATATGTGCCAAGAGCTGTCATTCACATTCAGAATATGTCAGAGAACAAACAAAGCAAAGAAACATCACTGCTTTGATGGAATGTATATTCTAGTAAATGGGGGAGGCAGGCAATAAATAAAATGAGCATAATAAAAAAGTAATTTATGTAATGTGCTAATAGGTGATAAATGTATGGAAACAAGAAAAAGAGCAGTGAAAATGGGGATTGGGATACCAAGGGTGGGGGTAGCGATTGGGTTTTATATACAGTAAGTTGTTTAGACCTTACTGAGAAATTAGCATTTAAGCAAATGCTTGAAGATAAGAGAATTAGCCATATTAATATTTTGGGAAAGAGCATTCTAGGCAAAGGGAACAGCCAGGACAAAGGCCCAAAAGGCAGAGCATGTTGAAGAAAAATCAAGCAGACCAGTGTGGCTGGAGCAGAAAGAGTGAGGAGAGAGTAGAAGGAGATGAAGTCAGAAAGTAACGGGGCCAGATCATATAAGAACAAATAAATGGAAGACCCTTTATGCCTTTAAAAAAAATGTGGTTTTTATTCTGATTATCCCTAAGGAGATACTGGGTTTTGATCAGAGAAGTAACATGATCTGACTTAATGTTTTAAAACGATTGCTCTGACTGCTGTATTGAAAATTGACTATAGAGGGTCAAGATTAGAAGCAGGGAGTCCAATTAGGAGACTTTTGCAAGAAGCCATGCAAGAGATGATGGTGGTTCACATCAGGGTAGTGGGTGCAGTAGAGTTGGTAAGTGCTGAGATTCTGGATATGTTTTGAAGGTAAAGCCAGTCAGCTTTCTTGAATGGATTGGATGTAGGGTATGAGAAAAAGAGAAGAGTCAAGAATAAGTTCAAAGCTTTTGGCCCAAGCAGCCAGAAGGATGAAATTGCTGTGACTTCACTCGGGTAGGCTGGTGAAGCCGGTTTTGAGGAGGAAGACCAAGGATTCTGTTTTGAAGATACTGATTTTGAGCTGTCAGGAATGTTGTAGGCATATTTGAGTAGGCTGTTACATATATATTTTGGTGTTTTCGAGAGAGGTGTGTGCTGGAAATAGGAATTGGGATGTTGTTTGTGTATAGATGGAACTTAAGAGTAGATAGATCATGAAAAGAGTGAGTGTAAATCGAGAAGAGAGGATAGGGACTGATCTCTGAGGTCTTTCCAGCATTAAGAAATCTGAGACAAGATGAGGGCTAGCAAAGGGGAATGAGGAGGAGTGACCTAGTGAGGTAGAAAGAAAACTACTGGACTGTAGTGTCCTAGGAGACAAGTGAAAAAAGTGTGACTATGAGAAGGGACTGATCAGTGATGTCAAATGCTCTGGATAGGTCAAGAAGGTGAGGTCTGAGAATTCACCAATGGATTCAGAAAGAAATGTCATTGTTGACCTTGAGAAAAGCAGTTGTTATGAGATGTCTCTGGTCAGAGAGCAATTGGAGACAACAACCAAAGACAACTCTTTGCAGTGATTTTGCTGCAAAAGGGAGAAAAAAATAGCATAGTAGCTAGGGAAGAAGCTGGGGACAAAATAAGGATTTTATAAATTAGGAAAAATAATAGAATGTTTATATGCTAGTAGGAATGATCCAATAAATAGGAAAAGATTTATGATATAAAGAAACAAAGGAGACTTGCTGGGACAATATCCTTGAATAAGTGAGAGAAGATGGCATAGGAGCTTGGATAATTCATTTATGAAACTAGGTAGGAAGGCAGAGTATCAGGGTGCAGATGCTGATAGAGGGCAGATGTGGTGTAGGAGCCTGTGGAAATCATCCTTTGATTGGTTGAGTCTTCTCAGGGAAGTAGAAAGATCATCAGCTGAGAATGAGGATAGGATAGGAGAGGCGAGGAGAGAGATGAGGATTTTCAATAGTCATTAAGTGGAGGAGTGAATGGATTAGGGTATCTTTTAATTACCTGGTGATATTTAAAGCCTACTTGAAATCATGAATTTAAAATAAGATGTCTCTGTAGTACTTAGTTGTCTCTCTCCAGTTTAGCTCCACAGTTATTTTTAGTACTCCATCTATTGTAATGAATCATTCATAAAATGACCCCTAGCCAGCCATATAGAGTACAAGAAACTATTTTATTACAGTGTCAGATATTTTAGGAAAACATGTATAATTCAGTTTTACTTGGTTTAATAGGAATACTTAGTATAGCTTTATTTCCTTGGCTTGCTATACTTTTTTGTCCATTGCTTTGATGTCAGCCCTTCTTAGTCTATTCACTTTTTATTCAATGGTCTTAGTTCCACTCTGCTTTTATTTTCCATCCAAGTTATAATTTTCCTTTTGTAAGTTTCTTTTGTACTAGAGAAAAAAAGGTGTGTTGTGTGTGTGTGTGTTTTAAATCTATATTCTTGATGCATGCACCGTCTTGTTCCTGGTGAAAATACCAAAAATATGAAGAACCAAGATAATATGAGCACCAACTAATTAGAATAGATATTAGCACGGGAGCAGGGTGCTGCATACTGTTTGTTGTGCCAAAGATTACTTCTTTAGGTGCTGGATCCTGGGAAGATTGAGGTGCCAGGGCAGTTGGGATACACTTGAAGGGCTCAGGGTAGCGCTACTTACCAACTGGATCAGGAGAATTTCAATGATACTGTCATACCACTGTTTGAATATCTGTATGAATATCAGCCCTTTTTCTCCCAGGGAGAGGTCTGCATGAACAAAATTTATTTTTTAGTATATCTGATTTGTAATCTTCATAAACTTCATAATCTGCCCAACTCTTTCCCAATTCATTCAACTAAATTTCCTTGGTATTTTCTATCTCCTTTCATTGTTATATCTGAGAAACTCTTTTGTTAAGCAGTACTTTTATTTACGTGATTGTCAAGCAGTGATGCAGTCCAAAAGAGCAGCACAGTAGTAGCCATGAGATTGGCTTGTCATACTTCCATATATTAGGCCGGTAAGGAGACAGTGGGCACAAATAGTGCTGGATGCTTTATTACTCACAGACAGCAAGAGCAAGATCAGCATGGTGTCAGCTTCTGATGTTCCTAGTTCCATAGGATTACACGAAGCAGCAGGGACCAGATGACAGACCAGACAAATGATTTGTTGCTCTGCCATGTAGGAACAAAATCTAAACTACAGCTGTGCAGCTTTATAGACTTATGCAGGAGCCTTCAACTGTGCTCTAAGGAAAAGAGGGATAGAAAGTTCTATAGTCAACTGAAATTGGGGAGATAGATGAGAAATGGGCTGTGTCAGTCTTCCACAAGAAAGCAATGAGAAACTGCCTCATGGAGACTTACCACCAGGCTTCTCTTCTCTTTCTCCAGGAGAAATTGCAGGGCATTCTGCTAAGATTTCGGTCTGACCGCTGTCAAACCTTGCCTATGTAGCTTATGTGGACCTGTATAATGTTGACCGAGTGCCATGGTAGAGCTATTTCCTTATAGCAGTGAGTCTCAAATGAGGGCTATTTTGAGCCCTACAGGATATTTGTCTGTAGACATTTTGGTTGTCACAACTCAAGAGTAGGGGGATGCTGCTGGCACTTTCTTGGTACATGTCAGTTCTGCCCACAATAAGGAAATTATTTAAAAGGTCAGTAGTGCTGAGGTTGAGAAACCCTGTTTTACAGTTATTTCTTCCTTTGTTACTTCTTTTTTGTTCTCCATTGTTTGGCAGTGAATCATACATTTAGTAATTTTTATTATGAATTAATTAATGATTCATTACAAATTTATTAATAATAGTCTATTTTATCATTCATGAAGTCTTCCCTGAAAGACTGTTATTTCAAGATCAGAAGCAGTCACACATCTATGTATTTCCTATCACATGTAATAAACAGTAAATAAATATGTAATTTTTGTGACTATCTGAGTTAAATCAACTCCAACTGATTTGTTCTGTTATTCTGTTATCCTGAGCCATATCTGGTACAGTAACCTATCGAAGTAAAATTTTGCATTTATAAACAGCCATATTTTGCATTAAACATATACAAAACGCTTTTATTTTATAGTGTTAAAATAGGAAGTACTCATAATTAGGAGGGACTGCTATTTACTATGCAATTACTTTATTGATATCTCCATCTGTCAATGACTAGACTGAAAGGGATGAAAGAAGTGGTACTTGCCTTGGCTCCAATGGGTGCTGCATAACTAGGTCTTGGTCCAGAGGTTCAGCTACATTCACTTGAGCTACATATTGTGAGGCACAAAAGTAGATTTAGATTATATATTAATATTAATAACTGAAATTTAAGTGTCTGATGTATGCTAGGTATTTTCCTAGTAACTTTACATGTATTCTTTGATCTTTACAACTACTTTATGAGATAGGTGCTCTAAGTCGCCAATTTTAATAGATGAAGAAAATTAAGTTCAGAGAAGTTAAGTAACTTACCCAAGGTCACATAATTAGTAAGTGAGTAGAGCAGGTTTTGAGCCAAGCAGTTTGACTCTAGAACTTGTGCTCTTAATGATTACACCACTAATAATACATTGGTAAAAAGAAATCTCATACTTTTACCCAATTTACTTTTGCTATTTTTGTTGTTAATGTTGTTGGTATACCTAATTATGTTCATGCAATATATAAAATTCATAGAATTACATAGTTTTATTTTTATATTTATTTACTTGTTACTAATTAACTTACCTTAATGTCTGTGAATAAAATTTAAGAATATGTTACATTTTGTTTTACAAACTGCCTATCTCTAGAGCATGTGTTCTAGTTCTTAAGTGTAATTTAAATTCTTATTCTTTGATAATAAATAAATGTTTTATTTATTGAAATTTTAACAGAGATAGTGAAAAGCCATCAGATGCAGTACAACGTCACGAACATGTAAAGCAGAAAATTGAAGGTGATAATATTTTATACATGTTTAGCATTTAGCATTAGGGTTTCCTAAATACATTACCACTTTGAGACTTATAGTTTAAAATTTATAGCCATAAAAGTTATACAATAGTAAATTTTAAAAGATATTCAATAGTGAGTTTTATATTTTCAATAAAGTTATGTTTTGGGTTCTGGGAGTGTACAAAATGAATAAAACTTGGTTGTGACCCCCATAAAATCCACAACTTAGTAAGGACAAAAGCACATGTTGTGTAATTTTGATATAGTGTAATGCATGCTAAAAGTATGTGTAATTTGCAGAGTCCACAGAAAGAAGCCAATTTGTTCAACCTGAGGGAGTTAGGTAGATTTTATGCAACATAAAAGGATAAGTAGGATTCAGTCAAACAAAGAATGCAGATATTTGTAAGAAGAGAATATAGCATGAACAAATAGCATGACTAGAGAATTACAACTGGAATGGTGTTAGAGTATGAAGCAATAGGTAGGGATAAGGTAGGAGAGAGCCTTGTCAGAGAGATTGGATGCTGTGCTAAGGAATTTGGTTTTTCATATACAATAGGGAATTGAAGATTTTTTGTAGGAAAGAGATGTTATTGGACTTAATTTTAAAGAGATTTTTCTGGCCGCATTGTAGGAGCTAGATTTGGGTACTGAGAGTAAGAAGGGAAAGTTATTGCTATATCTTAGATGTGTGATAAGTGCTTATATTAGACCACAGGTAAATGAGAAGAAAGGGGCAGATTTGAGAAATATTTACTGGTAAAACTGGCAAAACTTGGTGATTGGATATGAAAGGAACTGAGATTAGGTGATGGTAGCATTAACTAAGAGAATATAAGAGGAAAAACAAGTTTTGTTGAGAAAATGATGAGTTCACGTGACTCAGTTGTTACACACATTCTTACAGATATTACCACTTGTTGCCTGAGTGGGAGGATCTACAGTGTTTGCAGCTCTATTGTTTTTTTTGAGTCTTCTTTCTCTTCAATGAGTTCTTAAGATAAAAACTCTGAAATTTAAACTCAATACATATAATTGATACTTGAAACTTATGACAAATTCACTATTAATTATTTCAGAATTCATAAAAACCCACTCAAGTGAAGAAGTTGTAGATGTTTCTGCAAGTGAGCCACGTAAGTTTCCACTCATTTAAGTATTGTGTTAATAACCTCTGTTGAGTGCATTGATTTCCATAATTTTCTATAAAGTAATAATTACTAAGGTAACAACATAGATTCCCTGGAGTTTGGAGCCATATAATTGAGCTGGCTATCAAGGAAGTATTGAAATTCCAAGTTAAGGGTACATGCTACCAAAAATAGACTGATTTTTGAGGAGTACTATGATATCACTCGAAACAGAGGACTTTTAGTTGTGATTCGAATATTCTACTGAAATGTTGCAGGGGTGGCAAGGCTTGAGGTGGAGCAGTTGTAAACTTAAGATATCATTTGTTGATTTTGTTACTATGACTTAATGCTCTGTCTGCAACTGAGTATGTAACAGTTCATGAATATAAAGAGCTGCTAGAACTAGTATGTCAAATTTCTGACTACTTGTCAACAGAAAGGAGAAATTACCTTGCTTCTGTCTTAACACTGGAGAAAATTTTAAAACAATCATGTAATATATGCTATGGAGTACAGTTTGAAAGTGGAAAATAAGATTTGCTTGGCAAAAGTTGATGGGAATCCTGCCCTCTTTCAACTTCAGCTTTTACCCCTAATGTTGCTGTGCTTAAACCAGGGACAGCTATACATTCTACAGTACTCTCATGTTCCAAAGTGTCTTCTGATCCAGGAGAGCCCTAACTGACTTGGTGGGGTAGTATCTAGAGCTTTGGAGTGAATGTTGGAAGCCTCTCTCTACATCAATGGGAACCCTCTGTACATCTCTCTCAATCTCTGCTGCTGTCTTCTCTCTAGTACTGTGCCCTGTGAATTCTAGCTGCTTTGGCCTCTCCAAACTCTAAACTTTGTCTCTGAACTTAAGGAGACCAGTAGACTCTGTTTGTGTTCCCCTTCCTTATGCTGTGGCCTGGAGACTCTTCTTGTTTTCTTCTTGTTTCTTCTTGTTTTCTTTCTGTCATGGATTACTGCCTTGCACTTTCTGTTTTCTGATGTTTGAATATTGCTGTTTCATATATTTCTTGTGTAGATTTTAACTGGTTTAAGGTGAAGAGGTAATTCTGATACCTGATGTTCCATCGTGGACAAAAATAGAAGTCTCTGTGCCCACATATAGGCCAATGGAACACATCTTCCAACCATAAAACCAAGTTCCAAAAGGATAAAATATAATAATAGAAATTTTTCTCATGAATTTAACAAATTTATTTATTTATATAATTGAGGTATATTTGATAGACAACATTACATTAATTTCAAGTATACAACATAATGATTTGATATTTGTATGTATTACAAAATGATCATGTCTAGTTAACATCTGTCGCCATACGTAGTTAAAGAATTATTTTTTCTGGGGATGAGAACTTTTAGGATCTACTTTCTTAACAACTTTCAAATATGCAATACGGTATTATTAACTATAATCACCATGCTGTACATTATATCCCCATTACTTATTTATTTTATAACTGGAGATTTGTACCTTTTGACTCCCTTCACCCATTTTGTCCACTCCCCAACCCCCACCTCTGGCAACCACCAATGTGTTCTCTGTATCTATGAGCTTGATTTTTGTTTTCTTGGGTTGTATTTGTTTGTTTGTTTTGGATTCCATATATAAGTGAGATCATATGGTATTTTTATTTCTCTGACTTATTTCACTTAGCAAAATGGCCTCAAGATCTATCTATATTGTCGCAAATGGCAAGATTTCATTCTTTTTTATGCCTAAATAATATTCCATTGTAATATATATACCGTATTTTTTTAATCCATTCATCCATTAATGGACATTTAGGTTGTTTCCATATTTTGGGTATTGTAAATAATGCTGCAGTCAACATGTGGGTTCATCATGATTTTTAAGGGAAGCAGAGGACAGGGTTACATTGCACAATATGGAGAAAACCCTTTTACAAATTCCTAAGTATCTTTTCCCATGGCAGCTGCCTCAGTCCCTGGACCCCACTGGTATAGATCTACTCTCTCTCAATATTGCTCTTTCACTGGTATACTCTCTTTTTCTCTTTAAAGTATCCCCTTTCATCTTTTCCAGCCAAACTTTATTTTCTTCTTCCCTCCTCATTCTCTAAATTCCATTAGATTCTACAGCCTAATCAATAAGACAAAAGCTACCTTTGTATTCCATTCTTGTTTCTTGTTCTTTTTAAACTACCATTTAATCTTGATGTTGCTTCATTTAGTAATTAATGGACTTTATTTTTTTAGAGAAGTTTTAGGTTTATAGAAAAGATGAGCAGAAAGTACAGAGAGTTCCCATATACCCATTCTTCCCACTATCCCCACACAAAATTTGTTCTATTATTAACATTTTGCATTAGTGTGGTATATTTGTTGAAATTGATGAACCAATATTCATACTTATTATTAACTAAAGTCCGTAGTTTACACAAGATTCAGTCTTTGTGTCGTGCAGTTCTATGGGTTTTAACAAATGTATAATGTCATGTATCCACCATTACAGTATTATATTGTAGGAGAGTTTTACTGCCATGAAAATCACATGTTCCATGTATTCATCTTTCCTTCCATCCACCTGAATCTCTGGCAACCACTAACCTTTTTGTTGTATCTATAGTATTGCCTTTTTAAGAATGTCATATATTTGGAATCATGCAGTCTTTCTTTTACTTAGCAGTATGCATTTAAGTTTCCTCTGTGTCGTTCCATGTTTTATACCTCATTTCTTTTTATTACTCAGTACTAATCTATTGTATGGATGTACCATAGTTTGTTTATCTGTTCATCTATTGAAGGCTATCTTGGTTGTTTCTAAGTTTTTACAATTACAAAAAACTGCTATAAATTTAGGTTTTTGTGTGAACGTAAGTTTTTCAACTAATTTGAGTACATACCAAGGAGTGTAACTGCTGGATTGTATAGTAAAAGTATGTTTAGTTTTGTAAGAAACTGCCAAACTGTCTTGCAGAGGGGCTGTATCATTTTGCATTCCCACCAGCAATGAGAATTTGAAGGTTCTTTCTTGTAGACAATATATATTTGGTCTTGTTTTTTGATTCACTCTGACAATCTCTGTTTTTAAATTGGTGCATTTAGACCTTGATTTTAAGTGATTACTGAAATAGTTGGATTAATGTCTACCATATTTGTTACTGTTTTCTATTTGTTGCCTTTGTTCTTTGTTCCTATTTTTGTCTTCTCTCTTTGGCTGCCTTTTGAGGATTTAATTGAGCATTCTATTTTTTCTTCAGTTTTATTGAGATATAATTGACATATAATAATGTGTAAGTTTAAAGTGTACAATGTGTTGATTTAATGCACTTATATATTACAATATGATTACCACCCTAATGTTAGCTAACACCTCCATCATGTCACATAATTACTATTTCTTTTTGTGGTGAGGACTTTTAAGATTTGCTGTCTTAGCAACTTTCAAATATATAGTATGATATTGTTATCTGTAATAATAATGACGTGTATTAGATTCCCATAACTTATTCATCTTCTAATTGGAAGTTTGTACTCCAGATGTTGACCAACATCTCCCCGTTGTCCCCACCCCCAGCTTCTAGTAACCACCATTCTACTCTCTGTTTCTATGAGTTCAGCTTTTTTATATTCCACATGTAAATGATATCATACGGTATCTTTCTTTCTCAGACTTATTTCACTTAGCATAGTGCTCTCAAGGTCCATCTGTTGTCACAAATGGAAGCATTTCTCTCTGTTTTATGACCGAACAATATTCCATTGTATATGTATATACCTCATTATCTTTATTCATTCAACCATTGATGGACACTTAGGTTGTTTCAGTATATTGGCTATAGTGAATAATGCTGCAATAAGCATGCAAGTGCAGATATCTCATTGATATCCTGTTTTCATTCCCTTTGGATATATACCCAGAGGTGAGATTGCTGGATCATATGGTAGTTCTATTTTTAAATTTTTGAAGAACTTCCTTACTGTTTTCCATAGTGGCTGCACCAATTTACATTCTCACCAACAGTTCACAGCATTCCCTTTTCTCCACATCCTTGCCAATATTTGTTATCTCTTGTCTTTTGGCTAACAACCATTCTAACAGGTGTGAGGTGATATCTCATTGTGGTTTTGATTTGCATTTCCCTAATGATGAGTGTTGTTAAGCACTTTTTCATGTACATATTGGCAATCTGTATGTCTTCTATGGAAAAATGTCTATTCAGATCCTCTGCCCATTTTTTAACTGGGTTGTATATTTATTTATTATTGAGTTGTGTGAGTTCTTTATTTATTTTGGGTATTAACACCTTACCAGATACATGGCTTGCAAATATTCTCTCCCATTTGATAGGTTGCTTGTTCATTTTGTTGACGGTTTCCTTTGCTGTGCAGAACCTTTTAGTTTGGTGTAGTCCCACTTGTTTATTTTTGGTTACTAAAAGATTATTGTGATCCTTTGCTGCTGTCATGTTTCCTTGATTTCACATTCTTTGGAGTTGCTGTCTTCACATTTAAAGTAGCAGTCACCTCCTCCAATCTTTACTGTTGTCTTCAGGCAAGAAATACTTTCTGTCAGCCCTGCTAGAGATTTGAGACTTCCTCAGACCTTATATGGATACATTTCCTCCATGCTTCTTGCTTCCTCTTGTGGCAGAGTTCTTAATCTTGTATGCCTTCTCTTGATCCTACAACACAGGAGACTGAATGCTGATTGCGTCTCTTTTGTTTTCCGGAGAGTGGCGTTACAGCTCAGGTTTGTGCTCTCTCCTTGGCCTGCAGACTGTGGCCTGCTTTCTGTGCATGCTCCCTGTCTACCAGCGCTTGTTCTTGCTGACACCCTATGCAGTGCACAGTGAGCTGGCTTCAGAGTGGAGGAGGTATGGGTGGCAGGTAGTGTGCTGGACAGGCCTGAGTGTCATTGGGGGAATCTGTGGGTGGGGTTTTCCCCTGGCTCATGGCAGGCTTCCTGATGGAATTCAGAAGACACTCAGCAGAAACTGAGGGTCCCTTTAATGCCCTATGGGGATCTT